CTTGATGAATTGCTGTTTCAGCCCTGAGGCAGGGAATGAGTCTGTTTACCAGCTGCCTGCCTATTTTCCTAATGTATCTGTTGGGCGTTTGCTACAGAGATAAAAACAAACAATAGTCTTGCCAATATAGGTGGAATTCTGAACATGTAGCCTAAATAAAGGTAATTGATATGGTAAGACAAAGAATAATGTTATATAACACTGCTGAATTATGTATATTTAGTGGCTTGAGCTCTACAAAGAGACATAGAGCATTCATAAAAATGGAATGAATCTCAATTGTATAGGCCTAATAGTAATAAAATTTTAGTTTTTCCAAAGGTAAAAATAATTAAATGACTAGAATGTGGAAAAGACATACATTTTTGACAGGACCTTGGTTAGTTCAACATCTTAGAGCAGATTTAGAACACTATTACAGAAGCAAAATTGCAATGCATGATTATAAATTTACTTAAATATTTGAGAAATAGTTGACGAAAATGAAAATGAGTAATTACTGTGTAATAAGTAGAGAGAAAATCCTAGTTGGCCCCAAACTCATTCCGTAACATTTAATTAAAATAAATTTGAGAAAGTAAAATACATGTTATAGCAATAATAGCATAATGATATTCCCTCAACATATCAAATCTCTTCATAACTGAATAGGCTTGATAAGCCTAACAACTGGATGCCATAATGAATCCCTATCAAAGAAGTTCCGTCCCCCCCCACCCTCGCAGAACATCAATAGATTTTAAATTCATTATTTTAGAGTATGCATAGCAACAACCACAAAAATACAACAAGAATGCATGCAAGGTTACACTTACCAAACAAAAGGGTGTAGGCAGAAATAAGTCTTTCCCCCCAAGATTTAATAGGTAGGGCTTCCCTGCGTAGGAGAAACACTGAGCAAATCTTTCCTTATCTGCCAGTCCAATCCTGAATACAGGCCTTATTTTCAGGGCTAACTAACATTTAGGCAATTATGTGTCCTCATTGTAAGGTCTTTTATGAAGATAAAATATGGACTGAGGCAGAGTGCAGAAGAGAATGAAACATAAATGTGTAACTGAAATGCTGTCAGAAAAACTCTGATAAATGAAGGCGGAGTCCGATTTATTTGTCACATAGCCAGTTCTGGAAGTCTGCAGATACCTAAAACATATATTAAAAGAACTGTTTTTCTATCCATCTGATTTGGCATTGGAGTGCCTCTTAGTGTCCATGGTAACTCCCACAGAGTGGTTCAGAAATTCATCATTAAAAGGCTTGCACATTAAAACATAATGGGTCAGCCACAGTACTTAAGCAATGTTCAGTTTCTGAACTTCAAAACAAGTTTAAGCCATTCTACACCTTTAGGAACATATTATTGGCACAATCTATAGTTTTAAAAACTAACCAGTTTCTTAAAATCTGCAGCAAAATAATTTTTTAGGTATTATAAAATATAACTAATAGTTATAGTATAGAAAAGGTAAAACTTAGAGCACTTGGAAATCTAAAATTGTCTCTCAAAATATAAGCACTTTATGTAAGTTGTAATCATAGGAATATCAATAAAGGAATATGGGAAAGAACTTCTATTGATGTTCCCAAATGGCCATTTTGTTTTGTGTTCTTTATTTTAGAGGGCTATAAAGTAGTTGTATTTTTAACTTCAAGACTTCTAACATTTTTGGTTATCCTTTCAGCATTAAGGGAATAACTAAATTGAGGTATGACAAGATTTAATGTCGTGGGTTGAAACTAAAGAAATCTGTTTTGGTTCCCACTTATAATTCTTTCTTGGCAGGTTTCATATTACAATTTGAGAAATCGGTTAAATGCATGAAAATACTTCAGTGGCCTGCTTGGAAACAACTGACCTTTACTCGGCCCTGTTAATCAGTGAGTGAAGTCAGTGAGATGTGACTAATCCCAGAGCAACAGGTTTGTTTAATATACCTTAGCGTGGGTAAGACCTGGCAGACATTTAGGATGTACTTAGCTAAAATTAAGAACGTGAAAGTTTTGCCCTGACCGGTTTGGCTCAGTGGATGGAGCATCGGCCTGTGGACTAAAGGGTCCCGGGTTTGATTCCCGTCAGGGGCATGTGCCTTGGTTGCGAGCACATCCCCAGTGGGGGGTGTGCAGGAGGCAGCTGATCCATGTTTCTAACTCTCTATCCCTTTTCCTTCCTCTCAGTAAAAAAAAAACAACAAAAAACCAAATATGTTAAAAAAT